TTGTCTATTCACCTTGTCGGGTACATTTTTTAATTTCAAAAAGGGGAATTGGGGATGCAATATTATTCTGGAATCTGGATAAGTGGAGCATGTGATGAAACTGACATTTGAAACATGCCAAAAATATATTTTAGGCAAAAGAATAAGAAATAGATTACAATTTTGATTTTCATTAATTTAATTTTTTTCCTTTCCATATTTATTAGATTTGTGTTGTGATTAGGTATCTTTGCTTTTCCCTGGGATCCTTCTTCCATTAGTAGATATTTGTAATGCTGGCAAGCGACTGACCTTTTGTTTGATTTTCTTGACTTTGAGCATATGACCATAGTGGTGATAAAATATATCATGCATGCGTATAGAAACAGAAAAGAGAATCATAAAATACAGGCTATATCCATTACCTACTGCGTGGGCTACATGTATATACAAAAATACTCAGATTTGTAATTATAGTCTATGAAATTTCCTTTTTTGTTGAATACAATAACAATAAAATAAAAAATTATTAAAAAAATACAACTGCAGGATCATATTTTATTCATAGTTATTAACTACTGTACATCTGTGTACAGAGAGAGAAACATGCAAATGGAAAGGAAGAAAAGGAGAAGTATGCTAGAGGGAAGAATATTACAATAAAAGAGGAAGGAAAAGACACGAGGAGAGTGGAAACTTGAATGTTTTGTTTGGTAAAAATTTCTTTGTAGTTCTATGTGATTCTGATGGATTAAAGTTAAAAAACATAACCTTTAAGTTAGAACATGAGCATCAGCTGAACATATTAAACCGGAGCCGGTTCACATTGGTTTTGTTTTCTGGGTAAGTGTTTTGTTCATTTAATATAAGAACCAAATGTCTCATAGGCTGGTTCAGCAGTCGAACTGGTCGTCTGTCAGGGTTTAATTAAATGATAAATAGGACGAGTTGTTTTGAATTTTGTGGATGGTAGACTATTGATTTTGAGTGATGTTGAATTAAAGGATGTGTTATCCTTCCCTCGACCCTTTTCTATTCCCTGTTCCACATCAATAATGCTTACATTGAAGGATTCCATTGACCCATTTTTATGGGGGATTATGATGAAGTAATCTGAAATTTCACAGATTCAGTTCTTGTTTTTCCTAATTTTATGTTTTTTCAGGGTCGCTATTCTTTAGTTTATGATAGCAATACACTGAATGCAACCTTGGAGTGGGTGAATCTCAAAGAGGTATCTTATATTGTTTCTATCGACTTAAAAGTTTCTTGCGCATTAATTTGAAGTTACTGTTGTGGTTCATCAACTCTTCTAAATGCATTTAAGAGTTTATTTTGGATTCCTGACTTTTGGGGGCTTGGACAGGGATATGGGACATGCATTCAGTATAAAGAACATTAGAGATGTTTGATTGTTTTGTAAGTTATAAAAGTGGAATGTCCATTTTGAACAGCCCTTCTTACTTTTTATGCCATTTCGTGTAAAATAATAATAATAATAATAATTGTTAGAAATGTTAATATTTTTCCATGTACATCTATTCCAAAAATTTTGAAGTTTGTTCAATAAACTGACGTTTGGACACATGCTTACTCTCAAAACCCATACTCCAGTCCCAAAAACATAGCCTTAGGACAGCCAACCATGTTGACTACTACACTCTTTAGAGCTCATTTCTTATTGTCAATTTTTCATGCTGGTTCTCTTTATGGGCCTGAGCCCGCAATGTTTTTATAGCCTATTCAAAAAATTAAATTTAGTTTTGGCTCCTAGTTTGCAATAAATGCACAATATATTTTTGTTTACAACATATTCTGTTGAAGGGTGGGTTCTTAGATTTATCCGCCATAAAGAGTGATTAAATTTGCGGGAAGTAACTTTTGTCCAATGTCTTAAAGCTATTAGTTATGTTTCCAATAAACAGATGTTACTTCCAAGAAACCCTTTGTAAGATTTGTTTTCAGATGGCAAATATATTATCATTATATATGCTCAATAAACTTTTGATGTAGTGTATTGCTATGTATGAACCAAACATCATGATTTGGTATTAGGGGGTGTTTGATGCACATTATTAAGGGAAGAATGTATTTTAAATAGTGATGTAATGGAAAATATGTGGTTAAAAAATAAGGAAAAGTTTTGGATGTGATGGAAAATATTATTTTATTGAAGAATGTGTGGTTGAAAATGAGTTTTGAAAGAATGAATTTTGAAAAAATGTGGATCAAACAGGGGCTTGCTGTAGAAGAATGTATTTTAAATAGTGATGTGATGGAAAATATGTGGTTAAAAAATAAGGAAAAGATTTGGATGTGATGGAAAATATTATTTTATTGAAAAATGTGTGGTTGAAAATGAGTTTTGAAAGAATGAATTTTGAAAAAATGTGGATCAAACAGGGGCTTGCTGTTCTTTCCAAGTGATGGTAAAGTCAACTCAGGTTACTGTTAATCTGAATCAAATCAATGCACAGATGAAACAAAGGGATTTTGACGATAACAAGCACATAAATTGTCTACGAAAAGTTTTATTGAGTTTAATGTTTATACATGGTTATGCAATAATTTTAATAATAGTATCTGACCAGTTCATCGACTGGGTCGAGCTATTTGAGTACTAAGCTCGAGCAACTTGACCATTGGGTTAAACTGGTTGACTTGATAGCGCATTCATGAGGAAAAATAGTGGAAATAAATGTAAGTCACTTTTAATTAGGTTAAATTGGACAGAAACCTGCAATTAATTGTTTAAATGGAAAAAATTAAAAGATGGTCGGTTTTCTCTTTTGCTGCTAACAGCGTTATTTTGTGAAATTGCCCTTGCCCTTTCATGAGGAAAATAGTGGAAATAAATGTAAAGTCACTTTTAATTGCGTCTTCAAGAGGAAAAATGGTGGAAATAAATGTAAAATAAGGTTAAATTGGACAGAAACCTGCAATTAATTTGTTTAAATGAAAAAAATTAAAAGATGGCCAGTTCTGTTTTGCTGCTAACAGTCCTAAAATAAGTGCTAGTTGTTCACTATAATTTATTTCCCCTACCCCCAATTAAACCTGTCATTTTGTTTTGGTACACTACAAATGCACCTACTCACCATCTTTTGGTAAAAGTATCCATGATCCTCAAAGCCATCTGTATTTTCATATGAGAATGGAGAAGTCTACCATTGGGAGGGTGGGGAAGTACTTGTCAAATGAGGTGAGAGGTTACAAGTCGAATGAGATAACCGCAGGTGGAGGCTAAAAGTACAATTTTTTTGTTCATACTCTATTTGATGTTTGTTGATTATTTCTGGAGTTTCATGAGCTTTCAGATGCATTGTTAATGTTAAGCTTTGTTAAGATAATTCAATTTGTTTTAGTCGTTTTCACCTCTACATAGCAAGTACATTTTACTCGATGATAGATACTGGAACTTTATTACAAATGATATTTTAATATTGTACGATGATTCAGATTCCTCCTGAGGATATCAGATGGGTGGGTGATGATCCTGTAATATCTCGATTAGGTGAGACAGGTGCACAAGGCACTGTAGTTACCGTTCCAAGCACTGGAAGAGGGGGAGGTCCCTCAGGGAACCAATTTGCAACTGAAACCCAGCCATCGCAAAACAGCGTTATGGAGGAGGATGAAGGAAAATTTGAAATGCTAAACACGGACACATTGATAAAGAAGGTGTTTAATGTGTATCTTACTGTAAAATCTTGTTGGTCTGTAAGTTTATTTGTCTTACCCTTTTCCTTGGCAGGTGGAGAAGGTGCTTGATGCAAGTCATCCGGATGAACTTGAGATTGAAACAGCTAAGAAAATGCTCAAAGTTAATACTGACTTTGAGTCTTTAAAAATCTATTACTGTTAGTAGGTTTTGGTCTAATTACAGCTATTGGTGATGCAGGAACATGAACGATCATTGATCAAGGTGATTGGAAAACTTACGGAGGTGTGCGATAGTGGTAATGAAGACAGTGCTCTCTCTCTCTCTCTCTCTCTCTCTGTATGTGCCACTCGCGCTACTGCTGAAGTCTAATGAAGTACACTTTTCCATGGTGGAGAAAAAACACGTTGGCTTATTTGTAATGTACATATTTCACCCCATGTGCAACTGAAACCAAGATGGAACAGAAATTTTAGTACTTGGAAGTAGTAAAACTAATGGCAGCATGCAAGTTTTCTGTGTGCATTGACGAAAGATTTAGATGAATTTAATGCAGTAAAACTAATGGCAGCATGCAAGTTTTTCTTCAAACCCCTGAATTCTGTTTATGGAGGAATCTGTATTTTTATTGTTAGGGTTTTTATGTTTTTCTTGATAGCTTTACCAAAGTCAACAGTAAAATATTATGGCATTGTCTTTAATTTCTTGCAAAATCTATTCTCATCTAATTTCAATATTTTGATCATATTCTATTTGTACGTACCAGATGGAGAGCATCCTTCCTAGACTGGAGGGGAACTTAGTAAACTACTGCTGCTAACACCTTGAGCATGCCGATAAAGGAATGGCCAGGGGATAGAGTTACAGATGATTTTCATGATGTTTAGTTGGAGGAAGACAAGGACTCTCACCGAAGAAGCTTGTATGTTATTAATTTATTATCCAACATGTAGAAAATTGTAGGCTGTGACGTACTGTTTATCGGCTTTTTTTATGTACTTCTATTCTGAAATTTCATATTGGGAGTTATGAGCGTCCAAATAAAAGTAGATATTTTGCGCTCACGTTCACCCCAGCTGAATTCCATATATGTTTGTAGCAAACCGATAGATCTGTGTATTCTTACAGATTGAACAGATGGGCCTAATATACAAGCTTGCCTTTTCAAACGACTAGTACACTCTAGCTAGGGAACTGATTGTAAGAAGAGACAATGAAACAATACTGGAAATGGACAAGCAGAAACCTTGCAACCCATATGGCACAATAATTAAAAAATAATAGAAAATAAAAATACTGTTCAGATCCTTGCAGTTACAGAAACATTTATATCATCCGAGGCAGTGTTGGTTTGTAAACCTCATAATGAAGTAATGAACTCCACGATCAGATTTGACATCTGTAAATCGTATGCTGGTCCTTCCATTTGAAAATGACTTGCTCCTTCAATTAGTTGGGTTTCAGTGCGACCGTTGGCCGTTTTCAGCTTGTTCTCCAGCTGCTTGACACTAGTGAAACCATCCTTGGTACCCATTATGAAGAGTTTGGGTTTTGTAGAATCTAATATGGCTTTATGGTGCCTCCCGAAAAGAATTGAGGCCATTAAACCAAAAGGGTAACCGATGCTAATATAACCAACAACTTCTTCTACCTTATCAACTGCAGAACCAGCAATTGGTGCACCTTGAAGCAAGGAGACAGCACAAAATGAACTTCAGATGCAAAACCAACACCATATAAATCAAACTGTATGGTTTATCATATGATGGCTAGTACTTTGATAATACAGAGAACAATGACATGACTGCATTTGGCCGGTAATAAGATTGTTTGTATGTTTCATTTTCCTTTTTTCTGGTGGGCTGTTTTCATTGTGCCACTATCCCTGACAAATGTGACAACAGAGTGGAATTGAATTGGAGGAAAACTAAGTTAAGTTTAATAGTTGAAGGCAATCTTTATCATAAAATAACAGTTCTTCCAAAGCACAAGAGTAATGCTTGTTTCGGGCAGAAGTTAAGATGAAGCAAAAAAACAGATATACTCTACACAGCCCTTGTTAGCCGCAAAGCACCACATCAAACTGAAGGTGTCATCACTCACAGATGTAACTGATATAAAGATCAAAGACAAATGTGATGTGATTTACTTTGCAGAAACCAACCAATCAATTGCATTGACAACAATTCAGCATAGAGCATGAAATATTTCTTCCAAATGGAGATTGAGAACTTAATTATCTAGTCAGCAGGCAACTAAGATGCTGTATTATCCAAAATCCTCTTAAAATTAGACAAGAAACTTTAAAGATTCAAGTACAATTTCTCCCGTCCATAACTTCAAAGAGGTAACCCAAAGTTAGAATGCCTCTTTGGTGAAATAATATGATTAATGACTCGATCAAGTAGCGAAAATAAAACTCCATTACCAAATAACAAAATGTCACTCTTACTTAATTTCAAAGTTTACTGGAGACACCTTAGATTAGCAATACAGGTCATAACTAAGAAAATGGGTTGAATCCTTTTCAGCATTATAATTACACGGTTTTAGAGTCTGTTTGGTAGGGATTTTTGGGGGAAGAATTGATTTTGAATAGTGATATGATGAGAAATGTGTGGTTGAAAAAGAAGAAAAAAGTATTGATGTGATGGACAATATTATTTTATTGAAGAATGTGTGGTTGAAAATGAGAATTGATTTAAGAATTGATTTGAGAATCAGAAACAAACAGGGCCTTAATGTGTGCAGTTAAAATCAATTNACAGGGCCTTAATGTGTGCAGTTAAAATCAATTATCACTGATATTAGAAACTACTATAGACTTTATATTATGTGGTAAAATTGGTAAATGAACTCCATAGTATGTTGATGACTAGAAAACAAAAAAATTACAATGAAAATCTGTAAAATTCTTCAACTAGCATTACTCCTGACTTGTATTCAATGCCTCAATCAACTTGATTTGTGCATGAACCAGAAGATTGGGATGATAATTTTTCTCCAACCTTGAATAATCATAAGACCACTCTCCTATCCTCTCCCTACCTTAAAATTTCTCCAAGTAAACAAATTCATGTACATATCGTTTATGGCCTTGTGTATTCAATAATTCTGCCAAAAGCAAAGGAACAATTTTGGGAGTATTACGATTTGGTCTTGTTATCACCCAAAAAGAGTAGAATGGGTTATAGTATTACAGAAAACCACCCACTACTATGCTTGAAGGTACTATAATTGCAATATTGTAACATATTTGTTTTGTAGCATTATGGTATGTCACTACAGAAAGGGTTCATAACCTAACCATTGATATTTCAATGTTATAACTCAGTGTAGCAAGAGACAACATTGAAAAGGCAATTTGAAAGCAAAAAACCCAATATTGTTGCATTCAGTCATAAGCAGTTCCAACTTTATAACCTTTAAAATGTCATGAAGCTTCTAAAATGCACTTTCTAAAGCAGGTTCGAGTTCAACAAAAGGAGCCAAGAGAATGGAATATCAAACGGGTTGCTTATTTATAAGGCACCACATTCCAATCGACCATGAAGTTCTATAATGCCTAGCAACAATTATTCTACCCAATTAACACATTACCTTTAGATGAAAAACTAATATTATATTACCTATTAACATAGTAATGGATAGTTTATTATTGCGATAATGAAGTCCCCTTTAACTATTTGGGACAGTAAGGAGATCGGATACTAAACTCTCAAGACTGTCCATGAGTTTTACGGGTATAATCACAAGGCCACAAGTAATTATAATTCAGTGTTGGAGGCGAATTCATTATATACCCGGTTCTTCCAATTATCCACACGCAAAATTCGTTGTGTCTGGGTTTAGACGAAAAGGACACATATAAGTATAATTCAGTGTTGGAGACGAATTTATTGTACGCCCAGTTCTTCCAGTTATGGACACATGCAAAATTCATTGTATCTGGGTTTAGACGAATTGAGCACACTAGTGGTTGAAGTACTAATTGTTTTTCGTTAAGAGTATTTTTTGGGGGAATTATCAAGGCTTTTATATACTTTATCTTCTAAAATCGGAATGCATTTCAAAATGTGCATGTTTGAAATCAATTAATCTCTAACTATGGCCTTTATGATCTTTGCAACGACCCGGATCCAACCTAACGGGCTGTCCCGGCCATTAGATCGACGACATACTGTCCCCACTGTACCAACATAGGTCTTTTCAGCATGTTTTATCCTCACTCGTACGCTCCCCAAGAAAACTTCCCAGGGAGGGTTACCCATCATAAAATTGTTTCAAGCCAAGCACGCTTAATTGTAGAGTTTCTAATGATGGACTTCCGGAAAAAAAGGTGCACCTTGTTGGTATGAGTAATACCTATCAAATCTTTTTAAGTTTTCCTGGTCTGGGTATTACAATCACCCCCCATTAGACTCGCGACGTCCTTGTCGTGCTTGATCCATTTGAGGATCTGTTGCCATGCGTTGGGTTTCTAGAGGTGGCTCCTACAGGTCCAAGAGGTGGCTCTCGCCCTATGGCGTAGCACTTTGTCACGTATAGCACTTAGTTCCCGATTTTCGGTTGGCAACCGGGCTCTGATACCATTTGTAACGACCTGGGTCCCACTTAAAGGGCTGTCCCGACCGTTAGATCGACGACGTACTGTCCCCACTGTACCAACATAGATCTTTTCAGCATACTTTATCCTCCCTCGTACGCTCCCTAATAAAACTTCTCAAGGGGGTCACCCATCATAGAATTGCTTCAAGTCAAGCACGCTTAATTGTAGAGTTTCTAACGATGGACTTCCGAAAAAGAAGGTGCACCTTGTCTGTATGAGTAGTACCTTTCAAATCTTTTTAAGCTTTCCCGATCGGGGTATTACGATTTTAACCCGTCAACTAATGCTCTTATCGTACAGTTTTGTTCCATTATTATTATTATTTTTTTTTAACTCTTTAAAGTTTAAACACTTCATGGTTCCCTTCCAAATAATATTTCAGAAACAGGAAAAAATATTTTGCTACACAATTAAAATTGCAACGAGCATATGATAAAAATCCAAAATCCGAAATAATATATAAAGATACCTGCTGAAGAGCCGAGGAGGAGAATCCGATCCGCGGAGAGGTTTTGGGAGGCCCATTTGCAGACGGAAACGACATCGTTGACTTCGGAGAATCCGGTGAGGGATGGGCGACCCGTTGATTTGCCGACACCCCGCATGTCGAAGGTGATAGCTATAAAACCCCGATTGGCCAATCCTATGGCTATGCCCTTCAATAAACCCTGGCATCCCCCGAGCACCGAGTATGGGTGGACCAGCACAATGACCAATTTTCCCTTACCATCAGCGACAGCCTCCGGTTTGTAAATTCGAGCGTCAAGGGTGATGCCACCGCCAGCGTCAATTGTACAAAACTCTATGCTGCTGCTCATTTTAGGAAGTTTTGAGATTTATTGAAGAGACTGTTAAGATATATGAAATTACTGTATTAATTAAGGGTTGTTGGAAAGAGGAGAGTTGGGAGATTAAAGAGGCATAAATAAAAATAAGTGGAAATTTCACAATATCCACTTTTTTGTCGCCATTTACAAAAGGGTGATTTATATTACCTATACAAATTTTAATTACTACACCACATTATAATCATACCACAATTAAAATATATTTTTAATAAATACACCACAATAAATTTACAATTATAACCCTAATTTATTAAAAAAATAATAATAATAAAATATATTGGCACAATTTTGATGTTATCTCTTTGATCTTCTGCTTGCTTGGAGCTCCATTTCCTTGATCAAATAATAAAATGTCCACCATTGCAAAAATGTTCATTTTAAAAGAATTTGGATCAAAATACTGTTACGGGC